AATATTGTGTTAGTTATTCTGGGTCTTTTTCTTGTTCGTGTAAACTTTAGAATCACTTTGTTGATATCCACTGAATGACTTGCTGGGATTTTGATTGAGATTGTGTTGAATTTAGCATTAAAAAAATAACTGTGAACATAAAATATATATTTTTTTGGTGAGGAAGATTGGCCCTGAGCCAACATCTGTTGCCACTCTTCCTCTTTTTGCTTGAGGAGGATTATTGCTGAGCTAACATCTGTGGCAGTCTTCCTCTATTTTATGTGCTGCCACAGCATGGCTTGACGAGCAGTGCCACGTCTGTGCCCAGGATCCGAACCTGTGAACCCCAGGCCACCAAGGCAGAGCACGTGAACTTAATCACTATGCCCCTAGGCTGGCCCCTAACAAAGTGTATTTTTAACTTTCTATATGTGCAGTTTTTATTAATGGCAAGGAAAGAAACTTTATTAATGGTGAAGAAAAAAAACGCTAAAGATTTTGTGAAGTCAAACTGCAACTCAGATTGATAATGAATAAATGAAAAAGAAAAATCTCACACACACACACCCTTCCACTCGCTAGTCTAACCTATGAATCACAAACCTTAATTTTAGCACAAAATCACACATGTTAGTAATCAAGAAGCTTGGGTGGAAGCAGACAAAAATATGCGTATATGGATACAGCAACATAATTTGGGGAGATTCCTTTAGGACTGCGATAAGTGATTATGCAGCAAGGTGATTATTAGGCACGTGGATTGAATATCAGGTGCTGCCAGTGTATGTGGGTTCAACGTAAATGAGTTTAAAAAATGGCGTGCTCTTTTTTTTTCTCTTTTTCTTCTTCTCCCCACAGCCCCCAGTACATAGCTGTACATTCTAGTTGGGGGTCCTTCTGGTTGTGCTATGTGGGACGCCACTTCAGCATGGCCTGATGAGTGGTACTAGGTCCGTGCCCAGGATCCAAACTGGCGAAACCCTGAGCTCCCAAAGCAGAGCCACAAACTTAACCACTTGGCCATGGGGCCAGCCCCCCAAAAAAGGCTATCTCTTCAAGATTCCTTTTTGTCGTTATTGTCATCCTTTGTTTTTCTTGTTGACTTCATTGACTATACTTACCAAACAATGTTAACTAACGTCAGTGATAGTGGGCATTTCTTTCTCCTGCTTCTCTAACCACTGAACTCATTTTTTGCTTTCATCCACCCCTGTATTGGTTCGATTCTTCCTGTCTACTAGCCCACCTGGCCTGTGATCAGCCATGTAGGTTCTGCCTTTGCTGACACACTGCTAACCTTCCACTGTGGTCCCCAAAGCAGCTTGCAGTCTTTTGTTGCTTTCACCATCTAATTTCTCTACTAGAAATCTGTGATTGTTAAAATTTGTACCCAAGTACAAATTTGTGCCTGTTAACCTAATACGAGGTATTGTGGCAAGTAATTCCTCTCTTGTCTCATGTTCCTTTTCCGTCGCCTTCTCCACGCCTTCGTCCCTGGGTTTGTCCTTGCGCTCTTGGAAAGTGATTTTACCTCCCATTCTGTTTCAGAGGTTCAGGTTCTTGTGTGTGGACTTCGTTATCTTCTCAGAATGTGAAATCTCAGAATCTTCATTATCTTTCTTTCTATCCTATTTCTTTTCCTTTCTTGTCATAATAATGTCCTTTTACTTTCTGAAAATAATCTCTCATTTATTTACTTTCTGTTCCATCTTTTTCTTCTTCTGCCTTTTGGCCTTCTCAATTATATTTACTTTTTTCCAGCAAACTTCAGAGGTCCTCCGGTGAGGTGTTATGTTATTTCCAACTTAGTGTCAGATGGTTTAACAGAAAATACACATACATGAAGCACATGTGTCAAACATTTACCAATGGGGAATATAAGTGAAGGATGGAGGGTGTTAGAGTATTCTTTTGAATTTCTGTTAGAAAATTTTTTCAATATAAAGAAAGTATTGATAGTAAAAATCATAATTTTTTATTTAACATTTATTGTAGTATCAGTTACCATTCCAAGCACTTTAGCATATATTACCTCATTTAGTTCTTATGCCAACCTAATGAGGTAAGTGCTCTTATTATCCCCATTTTATAGGTGAGAAATATGAAGGATAGAGAGATTAAGTAACTTACCCTGTGTTTTATATACATCTAGTAAGTCACAGCTGAGATTTGGACTCAGATAATCTGTGTAAGTAACAGAAAAATGAGTAAGATATGGCCCTCTATTCAAAGGGCTTACAGTGTAATTAGAGGTGATACGTATACAGATTTCTTTAATTTATGCTGTAAAATAAATCAGGGATCATAAAACAGGGGTCTTATCTAGTTGAAGGGATTGGAAAGGGCTTCTGGAGGAGGTAGCGTTGCAGTGCTAAGAGTAGCTATAAGTTTAGTTTTGGATCTAACGGTGGAAGTATTTCAAATGCAACCGAAGTCGTGTGAATTTTATTCATTAGGCATTGGAGAACATTGAGAGTTAAAGAAACTGTGGCCCAAAGATATTAATTATTTTTAGTAGCTTGTTACTTAGAGCTAAAATTTAAGCGTAAATCCTAGGCCAGAACTGGCTCATTTATGCTACTGTGGCTTTTCTAAATGCCAATTCTTTGTCCTCATCTTCAGTTAGTGATCCAGACTTGTTGACTTTTCCTTTGAGATGTTTTTAATTCATTTGTTTCTTGCATGTGGTTCATATTTATGTCAACCTAATATAAACCCTTATTTCATACCTGATTCTCATACAGTCCAGTCTCCTTTAGTCTCCCCCTCTCTGATCTTTCTTTTGCTAAATCAGTAAAATGAAGTTAGTTTTAATTTGATTATTAACTGGGACTTTTTAATGTGACTGCTTCCAGATTATAATTCTGAAGTAATGCTTTTTCATGTCACAATGAAAGAATTTTAGAATCTCAGAGATGGAAGCTTAAAATGTGTGCTTCTTACTCATTCACAGAAAACAACAAAAACGGACAGGTGGACAAATAAACAAAAATGAACTGTCTGATACAGAGGAAGAGAATACTTGGTTCATCTCTTCATGGAGTTTATAATTTAGCACAGATTGCAAAGGAACACAGTATACTGGACAAGTACTATAAATGGACAGTGTAGGGGGCTCTGTACAGACACCTGTGAAGTACCAGGTCCTGCCTTTGGAGATTCAGGGAGCTGTCCTGGAGGGAATGCCAAGTAACTTCAGATGGAGAGGAGTTCGCGTTCTCCAGATCAAGTGTACATGGCGGGCAGGATGGGTGGACTGGCCGAGAGTGCAGAGAGGTTGAGGATGTGGGTTTGGAAACAAGAGGCACTGTAGCATGCTTTGGCAAAATCAGGTAATTGGCTGTGGATTAAGAAGTCAGTCTGAAGGAGGTAGGTGTGTTAAGGGATGAAGTTGAAGAATAAATTGGATTCAGGCTATCTGTGGCCTCATAAGCCGTATTTGAGAGTCTCCTAAACCCTAAAAAACGTGCCTTGTACTTTGTCTCATTACTTTTCATTATCTTTTTCTAGAAAGCCTTAGCCTTTCATTTTGGTCAAACTGAAACCTCGTACTTTATAGCTCATCCCAAGTTATTTCCTATCCGGGAAAATTTCCTGAAGTATCTCAGCTTTTTTCTCTGAAAATATAGCTCTTATCATCTCTTTTAATTCATTCACCAGGTGATTCTCTATTTTTGTCTTTACTATTTTATTAAATTTTTATTACTATAGATTTTTCATCAGTCCGTGTATAGATTGTCCATCTATTCAGTCATGGATTGTAAAGTCTTACTAATTAATTGATTAGTATTTGAAATTTAATAATTCAACTATATTTTGAACCAATAAAAATAAAGCAGAATTCTGTGTAAAAAAACTAGAGCCTTACTTATGGATCAACAATTTAAAAGTTCTTAAAAATCTTTTTCTTTGGTTAAAAAAAAAAATCTGGCCTGAAATCAAGTATTGAGAAGTAGTTTCAGAGAAAAATAATCTTGTGAAAGCCAAGCTCGTATTGAATATTTGAGAATTTAGAGATTTGGGAATATTTGTTAGAAGCTAGAAAATTTAGCAGAAACCACATTCCTACTTTTTCAATATGGTTCAAATTTAATGCATTGGGACTTTTGCAAATTTAATGCATCATGAGTTTAACTTTGATCCCAATATGTTAACATAGCCAATATATTGGAGAGAATAATTGTTCAGTTTGTTATTTTAAATATTGAGATTTCACATATATAACAAGTTCTCGTCTTAAGAACCAACTTCACTTATGTGTAATGTGAATGCAGTAATTTTTAAATTGCTATAGCTATGATTTCTGGTTAAAATATTATGTTTTTCATGTCCATGAAACATGTTATCCTTAGTTTTTTTCCCTCTTATTCAGCATGTACATTATTGTCTGAAACTAAAGGGAAGTTTAAATTTTTTTAGAGTAGGTTTCTTTTAGTGTGATTTAGTATTAGGAAGTATGTGGCGTGTGTAAGACTTTCATAAAACTTTGTTTAATCTTTATTGGAAAAGATGATTTATCAACAATGTGGAAACGAAAGAAAGAACAGCAGCTCATCTGTCTTCACTGTCTGCTGAGGCTTTCAAGGAACGAGACTTGTCCAAACTGGGAGTTAACGTGGGTAGCACAGTTGTGGGGTTCAAAAAGATGTGAAACTTGAGGCCAGTTAAAGTCAAAAGTAAATAAAGAGCAGACAAATCAGTGCAGAAAAGGAAGATGTGTAATTTTTTCTAGGCAAGGCCTTTCCCCAGAGTTTTTGTTTCTGTTCTACTTCCTAAGGAATAAGATTTATTCAACCAATGTGTAAAATACACGAAAGGGGGGAATACAGAAGATAGTTGTATTCGTGACAACTAGAACTTATGGCACTTTACGGTGGAAACAAATTCAATGTCTGAGGTGAATGAAAGTCAAAGACTTTGTGATATGTTAAATGATTTGCAATAATTTCATTACCTTCTTTCTTTCTGAAATTATGTTCTATATCTTTTCCCTCCAACTTCTTCCCCTGCCCTTCCAGAGGCTCTCCCTATAGAGAATCTCCTTTGGGTCATTTTGAAAGCTATGGAGGGACCCCCTTTTTCCAGGCTCAGAAGATGTTTGTGGATGTACCCGAAAACACAGTGATACTGGATGAGATGACCCTCCGGCACATGGTCCAGGATTGCACTTCTGTAAAAACCCAGTTACTCAAACTGAAACGTCTGCTGCATCAGGTGAGTACAGAATGAACGTTTTCAGCTCTGGTATTTTGAAGTGCAAAATGGGTTGACTTTACTTTAAAAAAAAAAAGTTAATTGGGTTTCTAATGTCTATTTAGAATTCTGTAGAAATAATGCTTGTAAAGAGTACACAATAGAACCTTTTTCTGAGAGGAAAAAAACATAGGATTTTGCCTGATGGTCTCAGTACAGCCCCCAGCATTTCTGCGTGTGTGATACCTGGTAAGCCAATCTCTCTGTTTCTGTTTCCTCATTTTTATAGTACCTACATTGTAAAGTTGTTGGGAGTTAGAAATAGCCGTCGTAAACTGACCAGTCTAAGACCTCAGACATAGTAGATGTTCAGTCATCAGGAGCTGCTGCTAGCATTTCAGCCAAGTGGGAAATAAGAAGCAGCAGTGTTTCCTTACGTAATCTGAGTCATAAAATTTCACTTACTTTTGAAACCTTCAAGTTTAATCTTCCTCAGTCCTCTCGTTTTTTTATTTGAGAGAAATCCAGACTCATAGTGATGTGACTTGTACAGAGACAAGAGTAGCTGATGGTAGAACCTGGCTTCTGATTCAGTAGTACTTTATCCACACATTTAGCTCTTACAGACAAGGCCAGATGCATAGCAGAAAACTAAGAAATACAGTACTAATTTTAAATTGTAGGTATCTTTTGTTTAGTTTTGAATCTATATTTGTCTTTTGTAGACTAGCCAGATGAGCTTAAATATGGTTGAGAACCAAGTCTGGCTCTCTGCTCAGCTTTCAGAATTGCCTTCCTCAGGACGGTGTGCTCTCGCTTCTGATGTGCAGGGGCCAAGTTTGAGAATTCTTGGTGGCCGACAAAACCAACTCATGATGTATGCTCACTAATGGCTGGTTGAAGTGAAGTATGGCTCCCATGTTAGTAATGATGATTAGTGCAAATATTCTGTTAAAGTCATTAAATTCTTTTTTATTACTTGGTTATGGACTCTCTGGGCTACTCTTCTTCATTCTTGTGAGTATTTGACTACCTTTTGAAGAGAAACTGTTCTGTGCTAAGACTGGAAGCAAGAAAGTGGAAGGTGGTTTTTCAGTCAAAGATTCTTAGACTCCTCTCGAGGCAGAAGGAGTTTCCATGATTGAAATATCCAGATAGAGCTTACAACTTAGTTCATGTTTAACTAGGAAATAGACTCTGTTTTGTAGTATTTCTCTGCTCACTGGTCTGGGGAGAAGATTTTCTGATCAGGAACTTCAGAGTCAAGGGAAAGAGGAGGTAGAAAGAGTGGAAATAGCTAAAATATGTTAAATATCTACTTTGAGTCAGTCATTGTACTAGCTATGTCATACACCCTCTTTTGTGCCTGGGTTTATTGCCCTGAAATGTGATGCATGATTAAGTATCAGTTAATAATAATGAGAGAAGTAGCATAATTAAGGAGAGAATAGGTAAATTAGTCACCAATGATAAATACTATAAAAATAGAAAACTATTTTTTGAGACACTTTATGAAAAATTGTGAATCTCTTAATGTCTCTTTTCTGTCATTATGACCTTTGAAATTTTAGATAGTACACACTGGTCAGATTGGCTTGACTTTTTGTTTATATAGTGAAAACAAAATTAAGAAAATTGCAGAATCTTTTCAGGCATCTTTAAGTTTCCCAAAATGCTAATAGAAGTTAAAAGCTGAATGAGTTCAGGATTTCATATAAGTGCTTCTTAAGTTTTTCCCTGTTAATATTACTAAATTTTAAAAAGTTCAGTGTGATACACATACGTGGTTTAAAAAAGTTAGCATAGTATCCAGAGGCGTAATGAAAGTACAGTCTTTCTGTCCCTCTCCCCACCTCGGTCAGCCTCTCATAACCCGAATGGTTACGTCTGAAGCTTCTCTAGGATTGGGTCCACTTTTTCTTGGATAATGTATCTTCTTTTTTCTCAGTTTACTCCCTCATTTAGCTGGAGTATATCCTTCATTTACTTCCTAACAGTGGGCAAATGGATGGTAAATCTTTTTAGTTACTACAAACTAAAAATCTGTTTTATCTACTCTCACATTTAATTGACATTGATTGGCTGGGATGGAAGCGAGTTTTCCCCTGGAAATTTGAAGGCCTTGCTTTTCTAGGATCCAGTTTAGCCAGTGAGAAAAGTCTACTGTATTCTGATTCATTTTGCATTGTATTTTGCTGGTTTTTATCTTTCTGGGAGATTTTTAATCTTTTATTTCTGGCATTCTTCAGTTTTACAGAACTGTCCTGGAATTTGAGTTTTGTTGTAGTTGTTTGTTTGTTTTCCACTCAATACATGGGTAATAATTAATGGGCTCTTTGGAGATTCACATAGTATGAAATTTTCTTATTTCTATGATTATATTCTTCACTTCATTTTCTGTGTATCTTTTTGGAATTCTTGGTAATCACAAGCTAGAACTTCTGAATTGACTCTCAATCTTTTATTTTTTCTTTCATATTTTCCTTTTCTTTTGGTTTGATTATGTTTCCTGGTATATATCCTTGATTTCATATTCCAGCTCTCTATTTCTGTTGAATTATTGTCTTAGCAATTGTATTTTCAGTTTCCAAGCACTCCTTATTGTATACCATTCCTTATTCATTTCATTCAATTCTTGTTTTGTCTGTAATTACGTTAGGTAGACTGTTTCTGTTCTGTTTTGTTAAGATTTCTCAGGTTCCCTGCATTCTGTGTCTTTCTAAATGGTCTTTTTGATCTTTATTTTGGTTTCTCTTTCTTTTGGAATCTTTCTTCAAATATCTAATGATTCTTTGTTGTTTATTAATATTTAAGAGTAAGGAACTAAAAAGTTGATTCAGGACTCTGTACACAGACTGGACTTGTCAACCTGCCGTCTTCATTTTACGGTGATGGATGGGTGTCGGTGGACTCTCAGTACTTACTAAGTGAAGGTTTTTCCTTTTCAGGTCGTTGCAGTTTCTCCAGAGAAGAAATCTCTAATGTTTTTGCTTGGACTGGAGGTAGAAGACTGGGAGTCTATTCTTGCTTTATGCAGACTTCCAATTAATTCCAGTATTTTTAACCCTAATAGGTCATATACTTACCTTTTTCTGTATCTAGCATTTTGATTCTCTGGGGTTCTTCAGGGCAAATTGATTCCCAATTTGTCCATATTCCTCGTCTATACATACTTTAGTGTGTCTTCCTCGGATCCTGCTACTTTTGTTGAAGTTTCTGTGTCCTCTGTTGCCTCCCCAATTCTCTTTATTGTTATGATTTATGTTTTCAGAAAAATTTACTTTCATGTTAGTTAGTATAGGTTTAAGAGAAAGAGACGGTAAAAACATCTCTAATCCAAAGCCCTCTCCTTTTAAAAAATGTAGAGAAAAATATTTAAAAAATTAACTTAGTTGTGCGAATGCTTCTTGTGAAACTTCGTGTGTCACAGCTCAAAATTTGGTTTAATCCTTTTATTTATATCATTCACTGCATTTGCCTGTTGGGGGGTTTGTGGGGGGGGGGGGGGTCAATCTCTGCTCATTTGCAAACGTAAGAACTTAAGCACCAGCATTCAGTATGTGCTTGGGGCTACTCATAAGAGATTGATATTATGGGGAGGAGTCACCCTTACTTCAATAAAACGTGAAGCTCTCCAAGATTTGACTGACTGCTAGCTCAGAAAGATGAATGTCCACGTAGACAGCAGTAGTTGCATCTCTTTTGTTCTCTTGCTTTGGTGTTCTCTCCTCCAAGTGGCTTGCCCCAAGGCAGTGTGCCTTAAACTCAGACAGAATTATTTTCCTTCATTATTTTTAGCAAAGTTTAGTTAGGCTATTTCCTTTATAAGATGGAATTAGTTTATTTAAGAATGCTAAAGAGAAATCATTAGTGAAAATACAAATAGCATAAAAATGGTTTCTATAGCCTGATTCTTATTGGAAATAACAGAATTTTGTAGAGCTCTTGAGAACTTTACTTATAAATATATAAAATTTCTATTACCTAGTACTCAATAAATGCATGTTAGATTGATTTTAATCAAACAATTTTACAAGTACCTTACCTGCCTTAGTTGCTGGTTATCCCTTAATCCAGTGGACTCTCATTGCTGTCTTTTTCTTGGTCTCTGGGACATGATCAAAGGGCCCTGCTTGATAAAGACAAATGAAAAACCACCTTCATGTTTTCTAGACTTTCCCTTAGTGTCTATTACCGGTTTGAAGGAATTGCCTTTGTGTCAGTCTGGGTTCTCCAGAGAAAAAGAACTAATGTTGTGTATATGTGTGTGGGTGTGTGTATATCTGTGTCTGTGTATATGTGTGTGTGTATATATCTAGAGAGAGACACACACACACACACACACATATTTTATATATATATATATATATATATATATATATGAAGAGATTGATTATGAAGAATTGGCTCATGCGATTATGGAGGCTGAGAAATCTCAGGATCTGCAGTTGACAAGCTGGAAACCCAGGAGGGTTGATGGTATAGTTTTAGTCTTAAGTCTGAAGGCCTGAGAACCAGAAAGCCAGTGATATAAGTTTTAGTGTGAGTCTGAGTCCAAAGGCAGGAGGACCAATGTCCCAGCTCGAAGACAGTGAGACAGAGAAAGAGAGAGAGGGAGAGAGAGAATTCTCCCTTACTCCACCTTTTCTTCTATTCAGGCCTTCAGCCAATTGGATGAGGCCCGCCCACATTGGGGAGGCATTCTTTAAGTCCACTGATGGTAGTTTTGGCAGAAGCACTGCAAGCAGAGAAGCAAATCCATATCCAGAGTAAGTATCTGTTCCAGTGAGGACAAAACACTGCCCCTTCTATGATGAAAGTGATTCGCTGTAATCAACCTGCCACCAGGCAGCTGGCTGATTACGCAGGGAATGGTGCCATATCAGGGGCTGTGTGATCTCTGATGCTGGCAAGTTAGGTACTATCAGTGGTGGCAGCCAGGTCTGCCATGTTGCTGAGTCCACGCATAAGCTCCATCCCTGCCACTGTGGCCGTTTTGTTCGTGAGCTTGTTGGGCAATA